AGAGAGAGAGAGAGAATGAAAACATGTAAATGAAAGGAAAGATTTATAAAATATTCAACAAAAGATACTTCCCAGAATTAACTTCATCATATTTTAAATTTTATTCACGAACAGCTATTTATTTATTTTTTACATCGAAGACCAATTAAAATTTACTTTGCAACAACAATCTACTCTTATTTTTATAATAATTACACTTCAATTTCTCAAATAGTTTAATTTCAAAAATATTAATCCTTTTCATTAGCAACAAATTTGTTTTTTTTTTTTAAAAAGATGTTCAAATTTGATTTAAAAATTATGGAAACCGAAATAAAACTTCGACTACTAATAAGAATTAATAATCACAAGTTTAACGTTTTATCAAATTCAAACAAAATTCATGTCGAATAAAATTTCAACTATTTGCATAATTATTAATAATCCTCGACTAACACTCACCTTAAGTCGTTCATCTTCTTGTCCACCGCCAAACAGCTAACAATAATGCTCCCGTTTCGATCCTCCCAAAATTGGTCAGGCGTGGCTAACCTGACGCCAGGCAGATTTCCATTCGCTTTGTTCAGCGCCAGGCCGCGTTCGCATTTCGCTGTGACGATGTTGTCATCCTGCATAAGGAACACGTTCACATCCGACGTGACGATATCGGGACAATAACGATCGCAGCTGAACGGGCTCTTGATTTTCGTGCATCTCGAGTTGTGACAGCTGAAGAAGCCGTTCAGTTTCATGTTGTCCTTCTCGCTGTCCACGACAATGCCATCAGCCTTGTAATGGCACAACATCAACTCGCTTATGTTTATGCAGTGGCCAAGGCTGCAGTTAAATAAGCCGGAAAGCACGCTGCATTCACTGCCGTTGTTGCAATTGTATTTTTTAAGAGAAGCCGTGTTCACCTGAAAAGAGATTAAAAAAGGGAGTTGCTTTGGTTTCAATGATTCGAATTATATCACGTCAAAATTTCGTTTTAGGTTAGAAAAGTCACGCGATCCACTTCTCACGCAGAAGAAACTCACTCGGGTGTCATTTATATTCCTCCATTTGACGTGTGTTTCTTTTGGATAGAAATTTTATGATTGATGTATATATATATATATCTAATTCTATATTAGCTTCATTACCATTGTCACGTTTCATATAAGCTCTTGGATAAATGAAAAAATCAAATTTTCAACTTCATAATTCTTAACTTCCATTATAGAATAATAAAAAATTCAATTTCTTCTTTTTTTTCTCTCTTTTGTTCATACTTACTTTACAAAAATTCATAGAAATTCGTGAAAAAATGTTCGATCTTCGGATCACGATGTTTATAAAAGTAAAAATTTTCTGCATCGTTGCGAACAAAAAATTCAAACAAATCCGCGAAAAACGGTTTTATTTTGAATCACGATGCGTGAGAGATGATCGATAAAAGGTGTGGCAGGCGAGTAGGATACGCCATTAGAAAGTAATTCAAGACGAAGCCGATGGTGAAAGCGTTACGTATTGGATAACCAAGTTAGCGCATTGAAATTGGTTCGCCTATCTGTGTTCATTACATTAGTATTTCATTATATTAATTTAGATCAGCATCGACGTATTTACAGCTTTATCATCCATTTAACAGCAAAACAACGCGTTTGCAGCACGAAAACCATTTTTACAAACAAATTTTAAAATTCAATCCAAATTCTTTCTTTCATTTTCTCATCTCTATACAGATTTACAGATTTACAGATAATGCAATTGGATTCTTGAATTTTATTAATTTTTCAACGATCGTATTTGTCAATTTCTAATTATCAAGTGTGTTGTTATAGGTATTTCTCTGATTTGTAACAGTTGTAGAATTCGCAAAATACAGTTTTAACAATATGAATAAATCGATACTTTTGTCTGCTGACTATCGGCTATTTAATGGGCAATGATTTTAATTCTTGGAAATATTGTTCGCGTTTACTTCTGTCAAAAAAATTCCGAACAACGAACATTTTCACATCAAATACAATCAGTCATCTGTACTCGATGCCATTCTCTCTTTTTGCACTTTTTTTACAAATGCGGATAATCTTTTTAGAACGCGCCCCTATTCACGTTTAACTCTTTTTATCTATTTTCTTTTTTCACAAAATATTTCAGAATTATATTACAATGAAATCGAAAGAAGAATAAAATTTCGTTGAAAAATCTTTGTTGAATATATCAAAAAAACAATATCAAGGAACAGTAGTAAAGTATTGAATTGCCTTGTGAATTATTAGAATTCAATTTTCTCGAAATTTTTCGTTTATTTTTTAAACGAATCAATAGAATTAATTTCTTATGATATTTCGATTCTTCTCGGAGGATTGTTGTATCCTCCTTTTCGATTCACTTTCGCATACAAAATCACTCTTTTGCACCGTCCATCGTGCGTGGTAACGAAAATTCCGGGTCATAAAATGGCACGAGAGGGTTAAAACGCTCTCCATCTCTCCTCTCACTGGTGTAATCAGATTTTTTCCCCCCGTTAATTCCATTAGAGCAACGTTCATCGAACTACTTGTACTCGGATTAATTAAAGACGCGGCTGCCCTTTGTGCGAGCTGTTCCATCGATTTTCTCGGCGAGAGAAACGCGCGAAAGATCCGAGAAATTTTCACGGTGGCGAAAACGATCGTCGAACGAACACCAATTCGAACGATAAAGAAGGGGAAAAAGAAAAAAGAAAAAAGGAAAAAAAACGACAAGTGGGCGAGAGAAATCGACTTTGAAGTTGACAACGATGGGAATAAAATTCTGAAAAAGTCGAGTCCATCGTCGATAACGGTGATCTTCGCGGATGGCGTTCGTTCGAACCTTTTATCGCGTGCAATTTGATCACTTCCGGTTGGTATTGTTGGCCGCGGAACAAACGGAGAAAATGGAGGTCTGAAGCCAACGCGTTCGACGCGCGGGAAATAACGAGATTGCAATTTCTCTAATTACTTCGCGAGCGGAGCTAATACTGAAACGGGAGAAAGAGCACGTTGAGAGTAAAGCCTCGTGGCCTTATTGTTCGGCGGGGGGAAAGGATATTTTTAGAACAGAAAAAAAGAAAAAAAAAACGCTCAGACACACCTATTTCATAGTTCATAGTCATAGATATAATAATGGAAAATTGTTGGGATCTTAGCAATTTTCTGCCGATCCGTAAAATTTATTCTTCAGCACGATGCCGCGGGAAGCACTGTTCTGGGAGAACGTTATTCAGATCAATTTATTCCGCGCCGCATCTCTCCAGAGAGATGGAACTATTTGCTCGTTCGAGGCGTGTTACACTTACTAGTAAGAGGAATTCGGGAAGATTATTACGCGGAGAGATGCTTGGACGAAACGGGAAGATCGATGTGTGAAAAATTTAAAGAACGTTTGGAGGATATAGAAAAACGTGTTTTAGCCTTTCTCACTTTTGTCTCAATTTTGATAACTCTAAGTAAACTTGATTGAACACAGTCTATCCACTTATTATAAAAAAAAATGTTCGATAATTCAAATAATGAGAATGTAAGTAAAAATTAAATTTTCATTTTTTATATCGTACACTTTGTAGAATTAAAAATTTATATTTATATAACAAAGGTTAAAATGAGTTTCTTACAATTCCTTAAAACTCTTTGGCTCGTTCTATTCCATTATAATAAGAAAATTAAACTTGTAAATATACATTTTCTTATACATTAATATAATTAAATTATATTAATATAAGGTTGTCGTGGATGTAACGAGATATTGACCATTTAACTGCATAAATGTAAAGTTTGATATGCGTTTTATCGGAATAACTTTTTTATCGCAAAGCAGTTTATAACGTGGGGCGCATGTGAATTAAAGGAGCATGTGAACTGGTCGTAAAACGTGTCTGACCGTATACGCTCTTATTCCCCTTACACGCTATTCCATCCTATTAGTTTAAATCTATCATCGATTTCTCGTCGATTTCCGGCCGATATATAAAAAAACAATATTTCGATAAAATTGTATATTGAATTTTATATATATATATATAATATATATATAAAAAAAATTCATCAACGAGAAATCAAAAATCGAGGTATCCAGTGACTGACCTGCGGGCAAGATATGCTGCTGAATTTCGTGCAATTTTCGAAAACGATGTCTGTCCCATTCCTTCTTACGGTCGCGTGGATCTGAGGGCAGAATCCTGTGGTTCTTGTCAAGCACCACTCCCCGCAACTCGCCCAACCGCAATTATTAGTTAAGGTGGTGTTAACGGTTTGGCACATGACCGGATCGGGATCGATCCCCGCGTGAAAAGCTCTGGAAATTAATTGAGCCCCCGTCGTTAATATTTTCGCCTGGGAGTGGTTTTGAATTTTGCATGACGGCCGCGCGAGGGATACTCCCTCACGCCGATGAATTTGTTGATATCGCGTTAATATCCGACGTACGTAGTTTCGAAAGATATTTTTTTTTCTTTTTTTTTTTTTTTTTTTTGTTCGACCGAACATCGAAAATAGATATAGGAAATGTGTAGCGGATCGATCACGTAATATATGATTCATAACGGGTAGAGAAGATTAAGAGGAGGCATTTTGCAATGTAAAACCTCAACTTTGACCTATGCGTTGAATGATATTACACGAATGATCGTGATCGAACGTTCCTCGAATTGCGAAGATTTATCGTTAGATTATCGCGTTGTAACGAATTGCCCTGGCAAATTACATCGGCCATGGTGTGTCCATGTGTATTAGCAAATTATTGCGATTAATCTTTTAAATTATTGACATTATCCTTTGGTGGCTTTCGAGGAATAATGGAAAAAGGAGAAATTACCAGTGTGGTATGGATTTGTTCAATTATAAATACACGCGAATATTTCTTTTTTTCGTGCTATCATCGGGATATCTGTAATACAACTTTAGTTTTAATACTCACTCTACTCTTTTTCTTTTTATCTTATCTCGTTTTTACTTTAACGATTCGCAAAATAATAAACTCAAATTATCAGTTGTGGAATAAATAGCGTGGTAACTGAGCAATTAGAATAAAAATTGCAACATCTTGGATAGATATTGCACCGACAATAGATACACGTTACTGGAACGGAAATAATAAAAAAAGGAAAAAAGAAAAATAAAAGAATCGATCTTCTTTCATTAATTTCTTCTAATTCTTGAATAACAACATGAATAAATTCGAGATTCGACATTTTCTAAAATCATAATTCACTTCGACACAAGAATTTCCCGCTTCCACTTCGAGGGTTAAAAGAGCTCGGGATCATAGAGCGCGAGTTATAGATTTCCCGTGGAAATTGAGGCCGGACAAAGTCGTAACTTAATTACTATCGGCCTTGGCCAATTAATCGATGCAAAGCCTTGTCCGTTTACCTGTGGGACGGCATATAGATCGCCACGCTTAGATAAACCAACGCGACACAACTGATCACAATGGTGAACTGACAGAAGCAGATACTCCCGCATATCCTGCGATCCTGTTCCGGTATCAGCCGGCGTTTATGCTTTCGACCCATCGCGAGCCAACCAATCGGACACCTGCCACTTTCCACCCTTCCTCTTCCCAACGCTAATTTCTGAACGAATTAACCCAAGTCTCTTCTCTCGTCAAGTTTGGACCCGTTTCAAGCCCGACGATTTCTCGGCTCGCTCGTCACGAATCGTTCTCTCTTCGACAGGGGCCAATTCTCTATTTTTTCGTCGTCGACAAAACGTCCACAGTTCATCGAGATTCGTTCGTGGGATCGGTCTTTGAGGAGGCGATGACGGCTGTCTGTTTAGACTCGCTTCCTGGAAAGAAAACGCAATCTATATCAGTTGTGACGTTGATCGATACGGATTGTTGATGCGTCTTAAGAGAGATGTAAATTTTTTTCTTTTTTTTTTGTACTTTAACAAGCTTCTTTTGAGAATATGAATTATTAATATTGAAATTTAATTATTTATGCAGTAAAATAGATATTTATATTAGGTCGTAGGTTATTCTAGCGTTAAAATATTGAATGGATTAATGTTCCTTGTACAAATATAATAGAAAGCTTGACGTGGTAAGTGATAACGTTATTTCGTTTCAATTTTTATTTCTTTTATTCCTCTATGAAATATAAAATGACGACTTTTGACCATATTTCCTAATAAAAGTTGTCCTTTTTGATCAATATTTTTTCTTATTTAAAAAAAAAAAATAATACTTCGCAACAATATGCACGTTAGATATATATATATAGAAATATACATTTAATCTTACTCCCCAAATTTAATCATCTCATCTTCTAAAACAAATATTCACAAATTCACTTAATCCATCAATCATTGAGGAGAGATTTATTACAATTAACCCATGAAAATTGACCCATTATCCTCGTCAGTTGTCTCGTTTTAAATCGCAAAAGGGCGGATGGTTATTTCCATCTATCGGTTAATTACTTTCGCGCGAAAGGATCGAGAAACAAGGTATGGAGAGATCTGTAATTTAATTTACGATTCCGGATATTCCATGAATTATTCTCGAGGAAAGTTTCCCTCGGTTCTTGAATTTTCCAAGCCTTCGATTCCGTTCCACAACAGGTGTCTCAAGCGAGGAATATTCTTCTCGGAAACACGATTTATCGATTCTACAAAAATTCTACCGACTCGAATCCTCTATCTTCTTCGTGTCCCCTGGATCGAAGCACGCTCCTATAAAATAAAAAAAGAAGTTCGTCCTCGGTTTAAGTGATATCACTCCAAGTATGAAAGGTCGCGTGGAGCATTGATTTTCCGGTTATGTAAGGTGGTTGATTTTACATAAATGTCCGGCACGATCGAACACGTACGCGAAAAAACATCATCGGTCGCTTCGCCATGTTGGATAAATAAAATTGAAGTAAAATTTCGACGAAAGTGTAGAACAACGCACAAGCTTGAAACTTTCTATCGATTTAGCTTGGAAGCTCTCCGTTTTACACGCGGTGGTCCCCTCGTTGAGGAATCATATCGCGATGCTCTCGTAGCCTTTCGGCCAATCGATTTTCGACTCATCGTTCCTACGAATCCTCGTGAATATCAAAGAATATCTCGGAAATTATCGATTCGAAAGAACAAGTGTGCGTGTGTGAGGAACGCCCGTTTCCACGAATGTTCGTATTTTTCGTGAAACGAAGGGAAACATTCGTATTGATAGGGAAAAAGAAATGGATTTTGGGAGAGGTTGTGGAAATTTTCCTCGGCTTGTTTGTGAAATAGGAATTGATTTTATGGATTTATTTATTTATATGATTCTAAAATTATTGCCTAGACAAATTACGTATCTCGAGATTTTTTTTTTTTTTTTTTTTTTACTTGGCGCTACTACCGGCGTATCAAATTTAACGCTGTTAAGGCAATTACCGGATTTTAACTTTATTAGGTGCAGCGTTAGTGTAAACAGATGCACTCCATCGGATGACGTGCAATTAGATACTCGTAATCCTATTACAGCGTAAGGGACGATCGCTTAACGGCCATTCGAAAATAATACATATCGATTCATGGAAACTTTCAAACTCTGATAAACTGTACTGTGCATCCTAAGGTTTCTTGAGTATTCTCACGCGAACATGATCTGACGATGCTTAAGGTTGATTTCGAAGGGAATTTGAAAAGGCCAATCGTTGTCAGTGTACGCGAATATTTATGATTCGTGTGATGCGATGATCTATCTCTTTGAGATTTTCGATTCCAAAGTATAGATGCAAAAATCTAATGATAGCACGATAGAGCTAATTTTGCTGTATATTTTCTAAAATAAAAAATAGATAGGTGTAAAAAAAGATCGATGTAAGATTGTATAATAGCTAATAAATCTATTCTTAAGCGTTGAAAAATTGAACTTTTCCTTTTTTTATCGAAGGCATCCGCTTGGATGAAAATTACCGGCGATGAACTTTGATTATAATTATAGCAATAAAATTTTAATCCAATACAGATAAAAAAAAGTAATGCAAATAAATATCATTACACATCGATCCGGGGAAAGATATTTAAAAATGAATTTAATATTAACGAGTTAATTTAGAAACGAAATTATTTTATATATCTATCGTATACTTGTCTATTATATTGATATGAGATACATGAAAATTCAAACACGCGATTAATATAAACTTTGAATCCTACAAACTATTATGGACAGCAAATACGTTCTCTAAACGGTGTTACAACAACACAATTTACTATGAAAACGTGTCCATGATATACGTTTCATCGTTTACTTTTAAGTCTATCGAGACTTTTGAGACTTAAATGTCACATATCCAGTCGAGGACGTCCTAGTGAATACCATTTCTTTTTTATTTTTAGAAATCGACTTGACTTCTCTATATCCAGGTCCAAACTACGTATCAATATTAAACAAGAAACCAAGAACAGGGTTTCCAATTATAATTTGCATCGAGCACGATCAAACAACGTGGTAAAATTAAATTAAATACAAAAAATTCCACTTATTATTATATTCATACGTAAATTTTACCTGCTCCTCGGCAGCAAATCACCGATACCACTTGAAATCCACCAAAATTCACTCGTATTGTTCCCTCGCGCGGCGATATCGCGCGATATCCCTCGATATCTATCGATATCGGCTCGGTCGCGGGCAAAAATCTTCTCACTTTCAGACACGAGAGATCGAGACGAAATATATCGGTCAATAACGATATGCACCGAATTCCGGATTCTCATTTCCATCCATCTTCCTCGATGTCATTGCTTCTTTCCCCGTGGTGCGTTGACATACAATGTCTCCGGTTCGGTATGTCAGCGTCGAACGACCACGAGGCAATCCGGATGACTGTTTGAAAACAAGTCTGCCCGTCGAGTGTATGGCTGGCCAGCTCTCCCATACCCGAGTTTGCGCACCGCGTTTATGGTGGCTCTCCGATGTGGAAGAACGATACGCAGAAGAGCCACCCTCGAAACGACTGTTTCTCCTTAACGAAGTAAGACTTCGTGTGTGGATAAGCTGATTAATTGGAAGCGGATTATATGTCGATTTGCTGACATTTTGAGTACGTATTCGAGAATGTTGATGAATGGTGGTTGGTTTCGAAGCTTTTGTTTTGGCAGGAAGTTAATTAATTTCGATTATGGCACGAGTAAAGGTTTTGACGAATATTACGAGTTTTTTAATGAATTGTTTCTCCTACGTTTGCATACGATTTCGTGTGGATAAACTGATTAATTAGGAATGGATCAGATCGAGTATGTTTTAGAGATATTTTTCGAATGTTTCTCGAAAGAAGAGTAATTTTGTTCAGTGATTCATTTGTAATAAGTAATTTGTTAGATAATAGCAGTAATAATAAAGTTTTTATGCTGATTGGTTTCTTTGGTGTTATTTTGTCTTTACACAATGTTGCGAATTTTTTGAGATAATAGCTTTAATGACACTTTGTTTATTAGATTATAATCGCCTATGACTGTTTTTTCCTTTTTAAATACACGAATATTAATTAGATAAATTAATTAGAGATTGCATGAATGTTTTTTAATACATTTGTGCTTAAGAATTGTGTTGGAGATGATTAGGTAAATTTCCAGTATTTGAAAGAAGCTAATTGTGTAGCAATTTTAGTAAATTTCTTAGATCGAGCATAGATAATAGTAAATTGAATCTTTTTGCATTATCTAATTCTTTGTGTGTAATTAACCTGCTGTTGTAAATTGTTATTTAATTAAGTTGAAGTTAATGAATCATCATACTAAAAGTTTTATTACTGAATATGATCCATATTGAATTAGAAGAATTTATTTTTATATATATTTATTATTTTTTTTTAAATATATATTTAGAAATCTTATATTACGCAAATGAGTATTTTCTAGTGTTTCTTTAAATTTAACGGGAATCAATTTACGAAGGTGTGAAGTAAATCTTGTAAGTAGTTATATAGCTTAATAACCAGTATTATATAATATAAAATAAATTTTGATATATTTTGTCGATAAATTTTAATAATATTAGAAAATTATGCAAATTATAATTTTATTATTTTACGTCCAATTGTATTACATTCTCATTATTAATAACAATGTCGCAGTAACAAAACGTACACAATTTGAATATTTACACATTGCGTCTCGCAATGTAATTGCAATTTAATTATTGCACGTGACTTGTAACAATAATTTCCATCTAGTTAGTAAGTTTCTCGCTCTCTGGTGTAATTGCATAATGCACCAAACAATTCGCTAACCAGCGAGAGTTATAATTTCACCACAGTTTGAATAGTTTAATGCAGCATAAAGTTTGTTCAAGTTTCGAGGAGTTGCAAGAAGCATCGTAATATCAATATAAATTTTCTAAGCAATCGTTGTCTTAACAGATTTACAAACTTTCTTGTGTCGGAAGCTTGATTGATATCGGTGATATCAAATTATTGGATCGAAGATTCGCCTCGTAAAGATATTTTTTTATATTATAAATTTTCCTTTCAATAACGCGTTTTTCATAAAATTTTCAATTTAATGATTCATCCGTGAAAGATTAACTTTTCGTTTATTGGACATTTCGACACAATATTTTTCGAAGGCTTAGGAAGGATCGAGCACGAAACACATACACGTATGTATATTAAAGCTTAAAAGCTTTTTCAAAGTGATTGCTACATGACTATGTACATTATTCGCAAAATAAATGCACGACGCTCAAATATAAAATGCATTGTTTCATATAGATATAAAAAAATTTCATCGAATTGCTCCGAGGTAAAGAATTTTTTAGCAATTCCGTGAATTGCTTCGCTCGAATAACACGATCGATGTAATTCTGAAAAGAGGAGGAAACGAAATCTGAAGGCAAAAAAGGATAGTAAAAAAAAAAAAGTGACTTAATTTGTCCAAAGAGAAAAATCGACTGTATTTAACAGAAAACGTGTTTCTGTATATTTCAAACGAATATCGTACAATCTTTTATTACAATAGTCCGTTAGTATCGCAGAACGAGTACGTTTTATATAATATATTATATACAATGTATGTATATATATATATATATATATATATATATATACTACAA